TTTAAGTTGATTGATACAGTTGCTGTATATTAGTTAGGTTTAAATTGAAATGGGAGGATGTTATTTCTGGTAATGCGAAAAAAACTCCTGTTGTTCTTTCACACCTTTTTTTTATTTTTTTTAAAAGGGGGAAAATCATCGAATGACTGCTCCCGCCTGGGTGAGGCGGGAGGGAGTGTCAGACTCTTACTGACTAAAAACCACCCCGTTCCTTCTCCTGCACGTCGAGTCGGAGCCCCGGTTACCCGTTAGGTTCTCCGCGACTCCGAATCGGCATCGGCCGCATCTGTGGTGGTCTGATGGCTCTTTGAGGCGCGCGCGGAACGCGACGCGCCGTACGCTCGGGTCTGTTTCTAGTCGGACGGGGAGCCACCCATGCTCGCCGTCCACAGTCCCGCGCTTACGGTGTCCGGAGATCGTCCCGCGATCCCCGACGCCCGGTGTGTCCTTCGCGATGGCTGGGTTGCGAGGAGGCAGCGCTTCGCTGCCTCACGCGTCCCGCCTCCTCCTTAGCTAGCATGACTGCTTCGCAAAAGGAGGAGACGGCATCCCAGTCCCCCTCGCTCCGCATCATGGCCTGCACTAGGCCCGGACGCGAGAGGTTGCCATCGCCGATCACTTCCCTGAGGGCACGGCGGTGCTCAGCCCACGCAGGGCATTCTCCCACTGTGTTCCACCGTGTCCTCAGTTTTTTCACGCCTAAACAGCTGAACGGAATTTGAAGAAATTTGGTATGAAGGTAGTTTAAGTCCTGGAAAAAAGGCTTTACCGCGGCAGAATTTCTCATTCCCACAGAAAAATCTAAAAAGCGCGATATAACCGAATTACACGCGAGCGGAAAGCTATTTATTTGTTTGCCTGTCGGAAAAACGGAGGTACTTTTTACCGTAACATGATTTTTTAACTGAAGGTGGTTGAAGGGATGGATAGCCACATAGGCTACTTTTTATCCTTTTGTGACGCGAGTGAAACCGCGGGTGAAAGTTAGTTTCAAATAAATAGATACTAACCTTAAGAGTTTTCTTAGTGACTGACATACCCAGCCTAAATGTGTCTTCAGTGTTGCCACTAAACATGAGCTCATAATCTTCTGGCTTTGGGTTCTTTCTGGGCATGATCAGTTCACCACCTGTAAAGTCTTCTTCAAACCTCTTCTTGTTCACCACCTCCCCAGCTTCTTTAGGTACAAGGATTTCTATTAATGTCTTAACAATCCTGTAAGCAGCATCTTTGAATGGCACCATTATTAAAACCTGGAAAATGTCAGATAAAATTAATGAATTATAATTAACTTAGTGATCACAAACTTTAATCATCTAACTACTGTAACTAATGATTGACAAACAAAGTTAAAGCTTTAATTAAAAATTGTGGGTGGGTCACTCACGTGAAAATACTGAGAAAAGCTATACTATGTCCCACAATAATTATTATAAAGTTAAAACTTTTGTTTCCTAACTTCTATAATGTTACATACCTTGGGTCTCACTAGTCCCTGATCCCGATATTCATCAGACAAGTCACTCTTCTTTGACAATTTAGCATTATGGTGCAAGATTTTAGTTCTAGTTTTCAACATATGGTTCACCACATGAAGACAATAAGTATATCTAATTTCATCAGCATTTGTAAATGTTCTCTCAGGATAATACAAATCTTGATAGTTATTTAAAATACAAAATAATTCCTTTTGTAATGGTGTAAATACTTCTGTAAATTCCAAGTCCCTTTTTATTAAGTTACTTTTATTTGCTGACACAATATTGCCGTGTATTTGAGATTTTATATGCAACTGTTTAAAATCAATTTTATTCACCAATGTTGGTACTGTTCCCATTGATGCATATGTGTTTTCTTCTAATATTGAAACTTTTGGTTTAACCTTTTTTGAGAGTGTTTCTATGGGTTTTGGTATAACTATAGATAGGTTTCGTAACACTGGCCAGGCTTTGGTTGTGGCTTCCACAGTTGGTGGTGTGTTGGTCAAGGACACTATCAACTCATCTCCCAGGTCATACTGAAGATGTTTAGTGAAAGGGTCATCTATCATATCAGGTTCATCAGCTTCAATTTCATTTTCTACATGTATCTGCAAATATAATTATATTTTTATTATAATTTGCTTACAATGTATAATTGTTTATGTAATGTAGAATCAGTTTTTTGTATTAAATACAAATTCGTTAGTGGAAAGGAAAAAAGACTAAAGCGCCAAATCTCTACTTTGATCAAAGTTGAAATTTAGCCGTTGAAAAATTAATATCTTTTTAACACGTTCGCGGACGCGCCGGTTATGACAGTCATTAGGAACTTGCGCAGAATGACGCGCCGGCTATACCCTTCGATATTTTTTTGTGCTCTAGAAGCACAACTGCTTTAGCAGACGAATTTCCATACTGCTACCATATAGTTCATCATCTAGTGCCCCCAAATTAAATTATTCGAATTGCTAGGTGTCACGTAACATGTCTTTTTACTGCTTCCAACGTACTACTACTTGGAACATTTGTGTGCCCACTCACACTGACGCAGCGGTCATAGCAGCGGCCATTGTATGAGAATTTGTTCCGTTGGCTGCGGAGTGCGCCGTGGAGTGCACACGTCAGGAACGTGATTTACGCGCGGTTTTTGACCAACATTTATGGTAAGTAGAATTGATTTTTATGATTAAATAATTAGATTACCTATATTAGTAATATTTAAATGAAACGTAGGTACTTTAGAACATAATAATGTATATAAATACAAATCCTACTAATATTATAAATGCGAAAGTTTGTGAGCTGTGACATACAGCTATGTAGGTATGTTAGTTACTCTTTCACGCAAAAACCACAGAAAGGATTTGGCTAAAATTTGGTACAGAGATAGTTTATAACCTGGATTAACACATCGGATAGGTTTTTATCCCGAATTCATGTTCCCGTGGGATAATTTTCGAGTTGTAGTGGGTGAAGCCGCTGCGCTGGCAACAGCTAGTATTGATAAATCATTGTTAATACATATAAGGTTTCAACAAATAATTTATCCTAAAATATTGATGTAAACAACTTCTACTTATAAATTCTACTTTTCAGATGTCTCGACAACGACTGAGTGGAGGTAAACCAAAAAATAACGATCCATACGAACGAGAAAATGAACGCATTATGAAATTGTTCAATGATTCATCAGATGAGTTATCTTAATCTTCTTAAAATTAAAATTATATTAAAGATTTTAATTGCAATGTCGTTTAGAATGATTAAAATTAAGGAAAGTTTATATTGTGATTAAAAGGGTAATTTTTATATTGAAATAACTATTGTAATGTCGATGTAATTTTTCCTACATTAAAATAAATAAAACCTTGTGTTTTTATTATCTACTGGTGTTCTTTTTATCATAATTATTTTGAAACTTTGTAGAAGGGATTAATAATATTGATGGCTATAGTCGCAGTATGCTGTATTTGAGTAAAATAACCGTTTACTACTGACGTAACGACTGATGCCTTTGAAGGCTATAGCCGGTGCGTCCTATTTGTATAGTCAAAGACTACATACCTGTGACGTAACGTTTGGAGCAGGCGAAGGCTATGGCCGGTGTTGTCTTATTTAAATACGTTGTATTTTTTACCGGCGACAGTACGGCTATAGCCTTTCATACAAAAATCTTGTGTCAAGATAGGGTTACAAAATCAAGCAAAGTGTCCGCAAACGTGTTAAGTATTAATTTAACTCATCAAGTACCGTCATTATAGACACAATTATAGAACAATAGGTTGGGGTCACCGGTGACCGCTCAGTGTTTGACAGTTTTTTTTTTGCAAGCAGTAATTTAGGTAAAACAGAAAAATTCTAATTTTTATAGTGCCAAAAAAATAAACAGATTGATATGAGACCTATACAGATTAGCGCGGAAAAACCAGACCTATTCAGCCATGTATAAAACTCATTTTGACCCATGTGGCGCTTTAGCATTTTTTCCTTTCCACTGATGATATGAACATAAAAAATATGTATTGATAAAATTATTCATCAAATTAATTACCTCATCTTCACTGTCATCATCACTTGTGCTACCTTCTTCGTCACTTATATTATTACTATCAGTGTGTTTATCTTCTGCAGTTCCCATAGCCTCGTCATCATCATCCATGTCACTGGCACTACTACTATCTTCCTCACTTTCCACTACCAGTGTCTTCTTCTTATTACTAAAACAGGATAACAACTGGTCGTAAGCGTCTTCTTCTTCTTCGCTTTCAGAATATTGTACCTTCTGCTGCTGCTGTAATTTCTCCTCCATTCTCCTTTTCTTCTCTAATTCCTCCTCAATTTTTTGAGCATTTTTATATCTGTTAAATATAGCTTTCTTGTTTACTATTCTATCTTCTGTAGCCTTTTTCTTTTTAGTGGCTGACTTAAATGAATGTTTCTTCTTTCCAAAGAATTTCTTGCCTTTCTTCATTTTGTTAATGTAACTAAAGTAATTCACGAATAGAAAATAATTTACTTTTCTCACAAGTCACAACACAGCATAGGTAAACACCACGAGAACATACATAACCGACATAACCTCTCAATGCTATTTTCATATTTTGACAGTACCAGTGGCACTTGACACTGACAGTTCAGTTTACACAGATTTCATAGTTCATTTTCAGTTGCCAACCTATCCAACCCTAATGTTAATTTTAGTTAAATACTTAGTTTTTATATATATATACAATAAAATTAGTTATATAAATAATATCATAGAATCTAATCGATTACACAGTTACCAACTTTAAAAAAATTAAACAAAAGCAACTAACAGCTGGACCGAATTAAGTTTGTGCCACCGACAGACGGTGCAGACGGTGCAAATGGAAACTATAATCATTTTACTGTTTCTTATTGTTGTAATAAGGTAAATATTATAATCTTAAGTTAAATAATATAAGTAGCGCCATCTAGTGTCAAGTTGGCGAGTTTCTCATAGACGTCGATATGTCATCTGTAATCTTCCCTTTTGTCGTCTGCATGGCGCCCATCATGTGCTTTCTGTCTGATTTATAATAAAACTACGAAATTAAACAGGCTATTATCTATTGTTCAACCACATCCACCACTTCAACACTTATATTTCAAATTACATAAAAGTGCGAAAACGTTCGAAGTTGGACCAACACTCCTTTCATCTCTTAAAATTATTCCGTAAGGTTTTATTAAGCCAGTGGGGTGATCTATGATGTAGCGACTCGTAGCTGGGTATGGTAGCTGGCCACGAGGCGGCGACATGAGGAGACGAAACAGTTTGGATATTGCAATACGCCGTAAATAAAACCTTCGTTGAATCAAAGTAGGTGCATTGTCCTGATCGGCACCGAATAAGCAATAGGCATAAATTATACATCTATGGCAATAGGCAAATAAGCATCGTTATTCCGTCATTTAAGTAACAGGGCTGTCACTTTGACTGTGACAGTGTAAACTGTCAAAAAAATGTCAAAAGTTCAAAATAAAGTTTAGATTTGTTCTAAAATAATTATTATAAATGAATTAAAGAATATAGACTAGACTTAGTAAAACAATTAAGAAATTAGGTTTGTCGATAGTGACATAGTGTTAACTTAGAATAAATGTGCACGTTGGTGTGGTGATAAAAATTCGGATTTTCAATACTTAAAGTTCAAATTAAACAATGTCGGAATATAATGAAAATTTATCAAGAAAAACAAGGTCCCGGAACTTAGAACCAGTGGCTAAGGTTAACAATGTTTTGATATTGCTGTATGTAGGTAGAGGTGAGTGCACATTGACATTGTTAATGAGGAATAATACATTACAGATTGGTTACATGGATGGGGCATCAGATGGTCAAACTGCTGAGTTTCAAAATAGTTTCAATATCGGTTATGAACAAGGATTTACATTTGGTTTACAATTAGGGTCAAAGGAAGCTATTTCTAGGTAAGAAATCATAATATCGCTGGGTACAATTTCTGCAGTATAGAAGCTTTCTAACATATGTATGCAACCTGTTTCAGTTTCAACCCAGACAAGAAACCACTAGATTTAGCAGATCAACGCAGAATTAATTGCCAAATTTGTACAAACACAGCAAGTGCTCAAGATAATGTAGTAAATTTATTTAATATTCAACAAGAGAAAAATACTGAATATTTATTACAAAATAATAAATAACTATATGGAGATTGGCGTAATGTAACTGTACAGTGTTAAGATGAAGGAACTTTATAGGTTGTGATGATTGACATTGCTTTTATGAGTGCTATGTTTTTTATCATACTCATTGAGAACTAGTTGAAACAATAAAAAAAAAGGAAACAACAAAAATTATACCCTCAATTTAGGCGTCAAAGTATTCGTCCGCATCACTATCACAGGGTAACGTTCCCAGGAGACTGACAGCATTACCACGTTGAATGGCAATGCTTATTTTCTGTCCGAAGAAATAGCCAGCCTTCTGGTTATGTGTAGAGTCGAAACAATTGTTACTATAATGTTGTGTTTGTTATATTACTTTTTGCATATTATGAGAGGCAAGGAGAATGAATTAATTTATTCTAATGGAGGAATGGAGGTTCACACAAATGGAAGTCCTCCCATTTAATGGGTGACTACCAATAATAATTAATGTTTACTTTTGTTTGAATCTTTTGTGTATTGCGTAGGACTATGGGATAAATATCAGATTTATATTTTAACATACTAGTTTTAAAATAATAATTAAAAATATTACACTAGCTAATATTTAGAAGTTTTATTTATAATCTTAGTTTCTTTTCTGGCGGTGGTTTCATATTTTCCTGTTTGATTTCAGTTTTGATTTCAGCATGTCCTTGTAGACTTCCATTTGTCATGTCCGAGCTGCTTGGATCTGCGGGTTCCTGTTTAATAGTGATGTTGTTAACATTGCTGTCCGGGGCTTTATCACCATTCTTTTCACTCGAGTTCTCTGTCTTAACAGTGACACCATTTGTCTGTAAAATCAAATACCAACTGTTACAACCACAAGAAAACTACTTAAAATTTAGTGACTTATTAAAATCTATAAAACACATACAGACCATATTTATAACTTTTTGTAGTTAGTAAACTTACATCTATTATCTGTAGTACATACATATTCAAGAGTAACTCACCTGGCTAGGTGCCTGTGTAACGGGCAATGGAAACTGCCTCACAAGTTCTGCTAACAACATGTCAACCCTTTGACGTTGGAATAGTGTGGATGGTTCCTCTTTGGGAGTGCTGCTCACATCCTTTGAAGACGACTGACCACTGTTGTAAGGACTGAGACCTAAGATTAGAAAATAGTAATTATTACAACTTAAACCAATTCAACCAGCATTTTTAAGCACAGATATGAAATCTTTGATTAATAATACCTGGTTTAGTTGCTTTGAAATCCCACCAGTATCCTTTGCTAGGGTGATACCTTGAGTAAGACATGGTTTCTTCAAATGAGCATTGGAGGTGATGGACTGCAGATAGCTAAAACCAAAGATGCAGTACATTAATTAATGTTAAACTGTATAGAAATTAGATTTCATATTTTACTATTACATAAAGCTAGATTTGTTTGTTTGAATGCACTAATCTCTGGAACTATTTGTCCGATTATAATATTATTTTTTTTGTTGGATAGTGCATTTCTTGAGAAAGGGTACATGCTGCAATCAATAGGAACCCAAACAGTGCAGGTGAAAACATGTTAAGTTTCAAAAAATATTTGTATTTACCAGTCTAGAGTTGAGAACACTTGCTAGATCAGGCGCCTGATACACAATCCCAGCTATAATGTAGTAATCAGCTAAAGGTATAGCCTGAGTAGGGCTGTGTCTGTGTTGTTTACGAATTACGTACAAAATTGGATCTTGCACATGAAGCAGTATGTATTCAAGTCCCGTCATATTCCTGTAACAAAATAATTACAACATTACGTTACGAAAATGTATTGCAAAAACTGATATCGGAAAGGAATAAAAACAATTGTTGGCATGGATAAATACTTACTGTAGTTGATCCATGCTGAGACGTTGCATCTTAACAATTTCATTATTACAGGTACGGTCAAAAAATGGGTTAGATCTCTCAGAAAAATAGTCCATAATATTAGATGGACTCAGTAAAGGTATCCAAGCACTGTCGTGCCACGAAAGACCCAAAGGATTTTCATTTGCTATTGGTAAATTTCCAATTCTATTTTGCATCATCTTTAGTGTTTTTATCAATCAGATACTTTAATTCACAAAACAATCACAATAATGCACTATCAGTGTATGTACCAAACCAAAGAATCTAATAGAAAAACCAAAGTAGAAAAACAATGACATGACATTCACATCTTGGTGACAAAATGACATTCACTGTACCATAGAGTAAATGGAATTATTGGATGTTCTTTGTTAGTGCAGACCAAACTGATTGCCGTGTATTGTGCTCAGTTATGTATTACTATACTCCGTGTGCTGAGTGCTGAATAGACCACGACAATGAGACTCACATAAGTTTGGAGTTGGACACTTTGCTTGCACTTTGCACTAGGTTTGCTTTCGGATCCAAAATGCAGACCTACGATTCCATGTCAAATGCGATATTATTATTTTCATTTCATTAGCCCTTTTTTGGACCCGATACTGGACTGGGTTATCGGTTTTTTATCTTCTCTAATATATCGCTAAATTTGCTATTATCTGTTCTGTATCTGTAATCTGTATTCGCCCCAGGGCCGTCACACTTACAGCCATTGACAGCTTTAAAAATCGGACCGTCAGCTACATCTAGTTTTCGAACCTGAAATTAAATGTTGTCAAACCTTTTTTTTTGTTGTCAAAACTAATATTTTCAGTGGCCACACAGTTCCAACCAAGGTTGCAACATTATTTCAAAATTTAGGGTTAAAATAATATTTTTTGGAAATAGTACAATAACATTATACACATTTATTTAATACTATATTGCAATTTTCACAAAATAATTCCTTAAACTTAGATCAAATGACAGTTATGCTGGCATAATCGTTCAAAGATGACGGCCTTTTTACTAATAAAGAGATTAAAAAGATATCAAGTGATGGATGACAAACTAAACTGTATGAAGTGACTGCGTCAGGCTTCTGCAT